TTCGGGTTTAGGATTTAGGGGTTAAGGGGTCCAGGGGTTTAGGGGTTTAGGGCTAAGGGTTTAGGGTTTAGGGCTTAGGGCTTAGGGCTTAGGGCCTAGGGCTTGTGGCCTGGGGCTTTGGGCTTCGGCTTAGGGTTGACATTGTTCCCAGGGTTCAATCACCCTATAGTAGTAATCGGGTACTTGGACTCTTCTGGCTACTTGCGGCAGACTGCAAGATCTGGGTTGGAGTTAGGCCTTGTCTGGGAATCCAAAAACCCTACTGTTTTTAGGGTTATACCGTATAAAGAGATAAATTGGGCCATATGCCTTGGTGACATTCCAGCCCACTCGGGGTGTTGCATTCATGTCACTGGTAAGAGTGGCCTACAAGAATTTGCAGAAGATCACGTATTCTAGGTTGGCCATGGCAGTGCGTACACGCCCTCCAGAAGCATCCTGATTGTCAGCCCGCATGAGAGGGTGGCCAGGCTTGCCATAGATCATGCCCTGAAAAACGTGGCCCTGCTTCTGTCCTATGGCCATCACCATAAATTCTGAGGGAGGTCGGCCGACCTGCGTGGCATTGTATCCCAGAGCATTCGCAACGCTCACTTGGGCTGTGCCCCACATGTGCTTACAAATAGGGTTTGGGATAAATGCCCTAGGGTTCGTAATTTAAGCCTTCAGTAAGTAAGGTTCGGGATGTGGGTTTAGGATTTAGCCCCTAGGGTTCAGGACGTAAGCGTTAGGGTTCCAGGGTTCCGGTTTTAGCTCAGAAATCAGGCCATCGAGGTCAGGATTTAACCCTAAACCCTAAACCCTAAACCCTAAACCCTTAGAGTTCAGGATTTAAGCCTTGGGGTTGCCGGTTAGGGTTTAGGATTTTGGATTTAGGGTTTAGGGTTTAGGGTTTTAGGGTTTAGGATTTTGTGTTTAGGGTTTAGGGTGTGGGATTTAAGCCTTAGGGCCTTAGGGTTCAGGATTTAAGCTTTTGGGTCTAGGATTTAAGCCCTAGGGTTCCATAGAAGTAGAATGGTTTCCTGGGTGAGATGATTTCCGAACCAAAGTAGCCAAGCCCGACTAAAAACTGTTCGAAGTTCAGCTGCTGAACCCTGCACCCTAAACCCCCAAATCTCAATCCAGATTAACCCTCAACCCCAAACCCTAAACGCTAAACCTCTACAACCCTAAACCCTAAACCCTACACCCACGCCTCCTCAAGGAACAACGTCGTGGCAGAGCTAGTTCTGGAGAGCGCTGGCTGGGTGCCTCTGGGCTTTGGACTATGAGGGTTAGGGTTTCGGGGCTGTGGGGTTTAGGGTTTAGGGCTTTGGGGTTTAGAGTTCTTTAATGGAGTTCCTTAAAACGGAGCTAAAAGGGTTCTACAAAGGATCTATTGGGGTTTAAGCTTTTACGGTTTTAGGGCTTAGAGGGCTTAGGGTTTAGGGCTCTATGCTTGAAGAGTCATGGGACCTAGCAACTAAGGTTCTAAATCTAAGGCAACCATACTTATAACTACTCATAACCCTGGTTTTTTACGGCTGCCATGCGCATC